ACTTAGTAATCAACACGTTGGAATCCAACGTAAGGAAAAGCAGCTTGGTTCACCACTCCTCTGGTTTACAGACAGGTGTGGCGATCACCCCCCTAAGAAGCCCCCTCCTTATGTTTACCAGAGATGTGCTCTTCTAGTCGTCTGATCAGACCTCTCAGCTCCTACCTTAGTGTATGTCCTTGAAATCAGCAGCATCTAAATATTAGCACGCTTGTTTTTAGGAATCATTTAAGTCTGACTACCCAGCTAAACCTCAAATCTGTACAAAGCAGTCTTTGCCAACTTCATATCTAAAACAGTCCTGCTGATGCAGACTGAAATCCTAACTACTCTGCATTATTGTAACCTTCTCTAGTTCATCAGACCTTTTTGCCCAAAATCTCACCAAGCCACAATCCAATGTTAGCCTTAAACCAGCAATCCCTAAAACTTCTGACTTAAGCAGAGCCAGTTACCTTCCTGTCAATCATCAGCCCTAACTCTAGTTCAGCTGACTCTAGTGGACTCTGCTCCACATCAACACCTTCAACATCAGACCTTGCTGGCCAGGATCTTACTCCTAGCTTTCATTCTAGCCCCAGTGTTGCACCTAGACAGACCGCCATCTTCCCCTTTGGACTCACACCTAGATATAAATTACCTGCTCCTAGTCATTTCTCTGTTCCCCATTCCACATGAACATCCAAACTGTGTCCTTGCCTTACTGGAAGTGGATCCCAGGAGGCACGTTGTGCTCCAGCAGATCATCTGTTTTGGACTAGTAGAGTACTGGTAGAACTGGAGATTACATCAGTGATGTTGTGCTCCAGCAGATCATCTGCTTTGGACTAGTACAGTACTGGTAGAACTGGAGATTACATCAGTCTTGCAGTTCTGACGCCACCTCAATTACAACTTGTTCAATGACACAGCTTGAACCCTGGCTCTCATCTCCAGCCATTTCTTGGCTATGAAATAGAAATAAATTTCAACTTCATACTTAAACCTACTCAGTCAGGCTCTGTTGCTGCTACCTTGCTTAACTGATCCTTCATAACTCAATCATTACTCTTGTTCACCAATCGTTGTCTGCCTAATCCTAATCCTAACCCAAGATCAGTGATCCCTGTAAAACCTTGGCTCAACAATAACCAGATGTCTCTCGGTGATACCAGCCCTCTGCAGACCCTGCCATCAACTTCTTATGCTGGCATGAGCCACCTTAACTCCAAACCCAACTCATTTGGCCCTCCCCAACAGTGCCACACCCGACTCTAACCAAACAGTACCATTGCTAAATCCTACACCTAGTCCAGTGGCAAATTCTGGACACATCCTCACCATATGTCATCAGCCAGCCTCAGTCCAAAACCTAACCCCAGCTTTATCCTCACAAGAACAGTTCCTGTTAGCCTCAGGCTTGAACTTAGCTAAATGGCAGCTACCAACACCAGCCTTCATGAAGGCTTGCCGTATTCATATCCCACTGGCATGAATCCAGCCATATCAATACTAGCCAGCAACCTTAAGATGACCTCCACAATGATGTGCGTGTCATCCCACATCTTCCAAAATGTCTCTTCTGCCAGCTACTGTGTGTGGAGAGATAGATGAGATGTATCAAAAGTACAGGTTGCCTTCATTTCTTCTACTACTGAAAAATAATGTGCCTGGCACACTTTGACGAGCCATTTACCACCTGTTTTAAATAATATTTGAAGACAATTTCTATGCAGGTGGAATAGGAAAATATATTTAGCAATAATGAAGAATTCAGGCCGTGTATATTTCAAGCATATCATATATTATGTCCATTCTTATCTATTAGCTTAAAAAAACCCCAATATTCTGACAGTACTATTGGAAAAGCAGTCTTCTGGCCAATATTTAAAGGAGAAATCCTGTCTATTTACTCTGAAATACGAAATTCTAAAGTACTTTTAGCCTGGACAGGAGTGCTTCAGTTATCTATAGTGGAGTATAACCTACAGTAAGCACTTTGCACTTGCAACACAAAAATAAAAGATAAACCATAAAATTTTTTTGCTGTAAATTGCTGTACTTCTTAAACATGTAAGTGATGTAAACCATGGCTATAGTCATTATCTACTCTTTTAATTCACACTCAAATTTCACATCCAAAGAGCTGCCAAACTTAATCTGTCTTAATCTTTCGACTGTCATCTTTGACTCAATGCACTTTATATACTTTTCTCCTAATCAATAAATGGAAAGCCATATGCTGCACATAAGCAGCAAAAATCTTGATTTTAAACCAGTATTTTTAAATATGATAAATTTTTGACACTTACCTGAGGCCTCTAAGTTAGGAGCCTAGTCATCCCAGACTCCTTCTACAGTCAATGAAGATACTACAGGCAGCTTCAAAGAGCAATTCAGATCTTAGCTCAGCTGAACCAAACTCCAAAAGCGCCCCTTCTCTCTGTGAATTGGCCAGGAAGACTACTTCGATTAAATGTGCCTGAGATGCTTCACTTATGTCCCTAATGATAGCTGGGCCTTAGCTCACACCATGTTTGAAGACGGAGTCATAGGTTTTAATGGACAATCTAATTAATGTCTTTGCTCTTTAACTACTGTCTTCAATTCCACCTAGTGTTACTGACCTAAAAAGGATGAAATCTTGAACAACTATCAACATTTCAAGAGTAATATAGGAGCCAAAGTCTGATTTTAAAATATGATTTTAAAAAATAAAATAAATAATCTGTTGTAATTTTGTGAGACTGAACTAATCTTTGAAAATAAGACTTAAGTTATATTTGCACAAACCCCTTCAACTAGCTCAGAAACGGAGAGAAAAATGGTCAGGCAGGATGGCATTCAACGCAGCCTATTAGCTCTCCCAAGAAATCAGGAACATTAACACAAAAAGCACTCGGCTGACACAGTTGTTCAACTACACACCTAAGATACCTCACTTGTAATTTAAGTATCTTCTCATAGCACAGATCTAAGATGTGCAGAACTAATCTTCGGGTGCAAAAGCTTCCAAGCAACTTTGAAAAGTGTACTTCAGTTCACATAAGAGGGCCTTTTCCAGAATTAATTTTCCTTCAAACAGAGAAAAGGAAAGAAAAGGAAGATATTCCGTATGCGGGCAATTGTTTGGTAGGAAAACTATAGCTCTTGTGATTTCAGAGATGTTCTGTGCTGAAGAAGTTACCAGCAGGCACTTTCATTTTCATAATGGCACAAGATGCAGCCATGATGTCTTAATGCAGTATGTAAGTCAAGCCCTTGGGGAGCTCTGAAAATTTTGGGAAAGAAACTATCATTTCTGCTAACCTTATATCCAGAAATTAGGTAGGGTAAGTTAAAAAAAATCCAGAAGGGAAGAAAGGGGACAGACAGACAGAGAGACCTGCAGAGATAAACAAAATTGTCATCAGCAAAGGAATCTGAAGGAAACACCTTCTTTGAGGTTTCATAACAAATTGATAGAGAATCTTTTGCATCTCAATGGCAGGGACAGCCTTTTCTATCTTAAGTTTCATAAGGTGTCACAAACTTCATACCTGGAGCAGCAAGAAATTGGGAAAGATCTGAATGAGCTGATATCAATTGTCAAGAGTACAGAAAATACTCATGTTCACAGAATTCTTTTCCTCCTCAGCCCAAATGAAAGACAATGCACTAAGAAAGCAATGCTTGACAAGCTTGATGTGTAATCCCTTAGCAGTAATATTCTTCATAAAACTCACTTCTTAAATTCAGGGCAATAGCTAAGCTACTTGCTGTAAGATCTCTTAGCTAGAACCAGCACTGCTGTGTTGGTGCAATGAAGCTGGTTTGAATGAAAAATAATGTGACTATTTTAAAAACTGTTATTAATAATCTATTTTTAATATATTATTACTTTTCTCCACCTGACAACATTTCACCTATATAGTTTCACTTTAGAAGTTTCTAGCAATGACAGCTACCTTGCACAGGTTAGTAAGAAATCTCTGTATTATTAAAATAATTTCACTACAGAGTAAAATCCCTTTTCATTAGTTTAAGAATTCTTCACACAACAAATATTTTGAAATTAACATTTCATCAGTTTTTCCTTCCTCCTCAAATTATCTAAAGCTTCTGTTGTAACTGGTCCTTCTCCCCATATGGCCTCTCAGAAATTTTTTAATTTGTTGAAAAAAAAAATCTGTACATTTTTCTTAGACAAATCCCATTTCCTCTCCCCTTGACAGGTTTTAGAACTAAGAGAAATAATAATAAAAACCAACATGATTTAAGTATAGTTCAATGATTCAAATAATTTATAAAATGGTTTTAACCTTTAAATGTTTCACTTCTTTAACTTTTTCTGATTACTTCCCTACTTTAAATGAAAGTAGAGTTAATTGACCACAGAATATTGGTATGGTAACAACACTGTGCATACTGAGAAAAAAGTGAAAACTGTTTTCACAAAGCACCAAACAATATAAATAGAGGTTCATTGCTTCCCTCAACTAGTAAACAATATCACAATGCCACAAGTTAAAATAACTACATAATGATCTATATGTAACTACAGATATACTCTGGAAGAACTATCTAGAATGGATGACTGTCTATTTTGATAATGTTTTCTGTGGTTTTCCTCCTTGACATTTGAAGTCGCATGGAAAAACAATTTCAAGACTTACAAACATCTCCACATTTTTCTCTATACGAATTCCATTATATGCATATACCGGAAAATAAGCATATTTTTTAGAAGAAAACATAAATTTATTTCATCAATTAGTTTCATTTACCTTAAAGTGCTCCAATACCATATATGTGCTAGGAAATATTCTCGTATTATTTTATTTTGGTTTTATTTATTCTTTTCGATAGTGCATCTCTACAGCTACTTCATGAGACTTCTCAATGCTGACATACAGCAAAGCAATTCGGATTACATTCTTTCAGTGTAACTACTCTTACAGCTATGATTTGACAAGCAACACATTCGGGAAGACAGTGTTACATTTGAAAGTACTGGGTGTGGACCTATCAAAAAAACTTACCATGCATCAATGGTAGACTTGGTTTAGATTCTTCAAGATGCTTTACAGTAGTGTTCACTAAAATAGCATAAAAGTAAAATATAATGCAAATGTCTTATAGTAGACAGTAACAGAAAAATACAGATTCACAAATGTAGCAATATTTAATCATATTTATTAATCATGCAAATTTTGGCTTTCATGAGGGAAAAACAAACAAATCGTTTACAAAGTAAAAATTGGTCCTTCACAACATAAAAGTGCGTCTCTAGATATGCTTAACATTTTTAATACTTCTAGAACCAGGAAAAGAAACTAGTAACTGCATTGTCACTGAACTGTAATGTGAGCCTGCACTAGTCAGATCATCTCTCTGGTCATGTCTGGATGCTGCTTTTGTGTCCCGGGGAAGAAGCCTTGGCCCAAAGCTACTTAGTCAAGTCTAGCCTGATCGACATTTGTATTCCTCGAAGAGGATGTAATGCATCCACACTTCATATCAATTAGTGCATTTATATCATGCACAGAACGTAGCCTTGGAGCGAATTATCACTTCACGTCTATGTTCCTCACATCAGCTTGGGGCCTACAAGTAAATTTGCTTGTGTGCCACGGTCTTGCCTGTGAAGCACTTGTCTGTGCTTCTGTGTGGCTGAGTATGACCTGCTCCAGCTGCAAAGCCACACAGCCACACTACTGCTGTGCTCTCCTCAAACTACCTAATTTCTCCCTGTTAGATGCAGTTCATGCCAATGTCCTGCTAATAAAGCAAGATGGTTTCCAAATTGGGATTAGAATTAATTCAGCTGTCATCATCTATTGCAATAAACCTCTTTCAAGTCACTGCAACTGCGGCATCAACTGTACAGGTGTTTGTGGTGCAGGACTGCATCCTAAAACACTATTATCAGGTACAGCTATCTGTAATGGACTTCAGATATTAAAGCATCGCACAGACAAAAATATCACAGTTCTTAAAATTCTTCAAACATCTGTGTCTTGACTGAGAAGTTAATCAGTTTTGACTACTTTTCCATTATTATTCCTTTTGTGAGTTCTGCAGCCTAAGGACAGTCAAGCACGAAAAAACAATTAAAATTACACTTCACAAAGCAAAGCCAAAAGTTGTTTACATAATACAAAATAGAACTGCTATATTTCACACCTTTTCACTACTCAAGCGATCAACTTTGTACATTATAAGTCCTTACAGGTGCAAAACATGAACTCTGAAAATCATGGAATGGAAACAGGTAGGTACCCTGTGAAACTGATTTGATTTCAATACTTACTTAGTAAAACTGATGCCTGCATTTTTTAATGAATTGTCACATTTGTTTCAGTCAAGCTGCTGAAATCAGAAACCAAACCTGCTTTTGCTTACAGTTTGTACTTACCATCACATGGTTTAATGCTTGCAACTGATCTTGTGGACAATTCTTTTATCTAAAAGAGAAAGACAGATACATGAATAGTTACAAATGTGAAATAGTCAATATTTAGAAATGAGCATTTAGTACAAAATACCTAGTTCCAGTACAGAAATTGTTGTTTATGATTTGGGGAGAAAAATACTACTTTTGTGGTACTCTATTGTACTGCCTAATCTATATTTCATTCATGCTTAATGAATGCTGAAGACTTATTTCTCTTTGTTGTCTTATGTGAATTCATGGTTTGTACACCCTGTTATTACACGCTATAAAGCGAAATGAGAGTGGACTTATAGGACACTTCAGCACTCACAGTTTCAACACTCTCTGCTCCAGCAAGTCCTGTTCAATTTTGCAAGTCTAGCTTCACGCCAGGGAAACACCTCACTGCGCACTGATTTTAAATATACCAACAGTTTTCCTGTCTACTCTACAGTTTTGTCTATTTGACACCCAAGACATGCGCTGAACAAAATCGAGAGCATAGAGGAAACAAGCTGTCTGTAATTTGATCTAAAGAAAACAGGAAACTTGTGAATCTTGTACCATCAAAACAATGTTCTGACTCCAATTCCCAAAACAGAAGCTAAACCTAAACCATACAGACACACAGTCAATGCCAGCTAGAGCTGGCACAAGATACTGGACCCTGGTCCTCTTTTATTTATCTGTTTGGATATAGCTAGTAGTGCCTCAATTCATTGTCCATTCAGTTTGGGTTCTACAAAAGTGTTAGCCACATCTCCAGCCCTTCCAGGTATGGAGAATGTAGATCTTCACGATTGTATTTCACATACACCAAACTCGGATCCCTCTGAACCTATTTTACATCTGTGGTCATACTGGTTTTTTTTTAAAAGGTCACTTTACTGCGAGTAATTTGTCTTGGATTAAGTCCTCTATTGCTCCAGCTATCAAACTCGTTAAGATGGAGAAGTAAAAGCTATTATTTGTCTTTCCAGTTCTTTAATCACTTAAGTATGTGTTTAACATCAATCTCATAAAAAAAGCTGATTTATAAAGAACACACCATCTAATAGAGAAACAGGTTCTAAGGACCGTGTAATCATGCTACAGTCTAAACTCCAGACCATTCAGGTCTTCACCCACCAATCACCTCAAAAAATCTATACCTATGTTTGAACAAAAGCATATTTTAAAGAAAAATAATTTCCAAACATGTAATTTAACAGAATCATAGACCATATCAAGTTGGAAGGGACCCATAACAATCATTGAGTCCAACACCCTTCTCCTCGCAGGACCATCTACAACTAAATTATATGATTCTGAGTGTCATCCAGATGCTCCCTGAACTCTTACAGGCTTGGTGCCGTGATCACTTCCCTGGAGAGCCTGTTCCAGTGACCAGCCACCCTCAGTGAAGAACCATTTCCTAATGTCCGATCTGAACTTCAGCTGGTGCAGCTTCATTCCATTTCCTCCTGTCCTATCACTGGTCACCAGAGAGAGGAACTCAGCACCTCCCCCTCCACTGCCCTCCTTGAGGAAGTCATAGCCTGCAATGAGGTCACCCCTCAGCCTTCTCTTCTCCAAGCTGAACAAGCCAAGTGACCTCAGTGGCTACTCTTAAGTCTTGCCCTGGAGGCCTTTCACCATCTTGGTTGCCCTCCTCTGGACACACTCTAATAGTCTCATGTCTTTGTATTGAGGTGCCCAAAACTGCACACAACACTCGAGGTGGGGCTGCACCAGTGCAGCCTAGGGTGGGACAATCACTTCCCTAGACTGGCTGGCGATGCTGTGCTGGATGCACCCCAGGGCACGGCTGGCCCTTCTGGCTGCAGGGCACCCTGTTGACTCATATTCAACTTGCCATCAACCCAGACTCCCAGATCTCTTCCCGTGGGGCTGCTCTCCAGCCTCTCACCCCACATTTTGTACATACAACGAGGATTACCCCGTCCCAGGTGAAGAATGCAGCACTTACTCTTGTTAAATTTCATGCGGTAATAATTTAATTAATTATTCTCACAGTGATAAATATGATTATTTTTAGTATAAGAAGTCATGTATTTGCAGATTTCAAACACTGGATTTCATTATGGTAATTCTGTGGCAGACTAAATCCTGCTCACTATCAGAAACTTTTCATCTGTAGAGGTCTTTGGTGCCTGCGACCTAGTAATCTTTTAACTTTGTGTTAAACTTCTTAAAAACATTTGGTTTATTAATTCTTTTCTTCTAACTTGTGTTTAAATTCCTGGTTTACATTCCTGTGTCTCTTTTCCAGATCTATACTTACTTGTCAACACAATTTCCAAAGTGTAACCAAAATACAACAGCAATACTGCTACAAATTGAGAATATTAACTATGCAACCAGAGATATATCAAAGACCAAATGCCAGTAAAATGTTTGTCTATGTCCTATGCTCTCTGAAACACAGAACGCTTCACAAAACAGACCTGCTGCTTCTGAGTAATAATCAGATCGTTCTGCTCCTGAAGCCTCTGCCCCAATTCTTCTATCTGCCTCGTGTAAAAGGTGTTATTTTTATTCAGGTCTTCTCTCACTGATGATTTAAGTTTCTCAATCTGTGACAGTAGCTAGCAAGCAATCAGAAGAAAAGTAACTTCATATTAATATTACACAAAAAAATTTAATGCTATAAAGTTTAAACAAGCAAGTGTCATGCTTAAGTATTTTTAACAATTCTTCAGCAAAAACATAACGTCTCTTGTGATTTAATTGGGACTTGCATACATTACAAAACAGTTGTCTGGATCACTTTTTACTTATGCATGGAAGACTACCTAAATCTCAATACAGAGAAAGGAACATACAAACACACTGCCAAGACTGCCTAAAAATAAGATTGCAGGAAAAAGCATATGCCTTTATAAAAACGTTTTTGGTTATAAATAGTGTCAAATAATGATATTTTAAGGTGATGAGATGTGAATTAGGTGAAACCTAATATATTAGCTCTGAATGTAGAAGAAAGGGAACAATATTTTAGGTGCACCATCCCAAAAGTAATACTTACATTACTCCTCCCTTATTCTATTCTTGCATTGTATGTGGGTGTATCCCACATACATCCTTTTAGGGGAATGTTCCATGGTTCCTCCCCACTGCTTTCTTGCCAGAGGAGGAGAGGCATTGGTCAGACCACTATGATCTGCTCAGTTCTTACATGGCCACGCAGATGAAAGGAAAATGAAAGGAAAAAGAAGCAAGAGAAACAAAGCAGGAAAGAGATTAAAAAGAAATGCAGACATGAAAAAGATCTGAGGAATAAAGCTTTGTATAGTAAAATATATAAACTGATGCAAAATAAAATGCCATGGTGTGTTTTCCTGGAAAAGCTGAACACATTCTGCATTAGAAAGCTACAACAGAAAAAGCAGCAGAGAAGTGATAGAGAAAAGAAAAGATTGACACATATGCCACAGGTCCATGGTAGCAGAAGGCATAGGGTAGATGAAAGCTCCATGTTGGTAAATTATCTATCAACTATCCAGCATATCCACGTAACGCAGAAAACACGGTATAATACAGTGCTCACAGAATTAGTTGTAAGCTCTTCAAGAGAGATACACATTTTCAGGTGTCTGTGAGATTTCTGAATGACAAATTCCGTTTCAACCCTGGCCTTAACTGAAATGTCAAGATTCTAGCATAAGCGAAATACAGAGATAATAAATACATCTAAGAGGACACACTCTGATAAACTCTTCAGATCTAGGCTTTCTAATCCAACAGATGTGCTACAGCATATCAAGAACTGTCAAAAGGGTAAGAAAATAAGAAAAAAGTCTCCTTTTAGTTTAAGTGGTTTGCTGTGCCACTTACCAGGGACCTTTCTGTCTCATGGTCATGACGAAGGGCTTGTATTCTAGACGTCCACTTACTTTCCTGCATAGAGGAAAGCAATATTAATTTCTGTTAGTAACACATTAACGTTTTGTTTGATATATGCAGCTTTACTTTTCTAAATAAAGCATAAATACTGGAAAGATTACTGATGATATGAAAATCGAATAACCCCGTATTTAAGAACCAGAATGGTCATCAGCATGTTTTATAGATCCAAGTGTGGTTTTCTTCCCAGTCACTCTAGAAGCTATGTATTTGCTCCTTGATTTGTATATACAGTGACTGCGAATGAGAAATACGCAAGGATTTTGATACATCTCTGTGTATTAGCAATAAGAGTAGTAAGAGCAGGGTCTTCCCCCCCCAGAATAATGTCATTTCAAGCAGTCATTAACAATATATTTTGCATAATGATGATTAAAAAAGCAGTACTAATATGAGTTGAGTGAACTGAATTTTATTTGATTAAATAAAAAACATAAAGTAAAACTCATTAAGTTTTCCACATCTTTGAGCAGAAGTGAACAAACTTCTTGACGATACCAGCAGTGTACAAAGACCTTCACACCCTAAGAACCATGAAATATGTAACTTGTGTCTCAAAGTGTCAGTAGGGGGAAAAAAAAAAAAAAAAAGAGTAAAAAGGTTTGTAGGTCTTTCCAAAGGCCTCACAACTGTTTTTTGTTTGTTTTTTTAACAGGAACGACTCAGACATGCAGCTGAGTCTCAGAGCAATGCAATGACCTTGGCATCAGCGGCCCTTCCTAGCTCAGACTTTCCTACAGGTGGAACTTTGGATTGCCCAACAGATTTGCACTAGCACCAGCATCTGTGCTGATCGAATCATACAGACCGGGTACAGAAGTTGCACTTGACAAACGCAAGTACTTCATCTGGCTCAGAAGTCACAGGCTGACAAATCCTGTCAGAAAGTTTCTTAACTTTTTTTTTTCAATCTTGGAAAACAGAAAATTCAATTTTTCCCTCAGTGTCCTCACAGATCAGCAGACATAAATGGTTTACCAGAGCCTTCTGGAATTCAACTGCAACCATACATGGCAAAGCTAGATATATTTAATAACAAAGAATAAGAGAATATCAATAAATAAATAACAATTAATTTACTTATAAAGGATAAGGAAAATAATTCCTTGATTTCCATTATAGAGATTGTACTAAATAGTAGTAAATCTTTAAAAACAGCTATTTTAGGCATTGAGAGGGATAAGAATTTTACTTATGGATTTAAAATCCTACTCAGGGACGTACAAAAATAAAAAGAACACAAGTAGTCTGCCAAAAGCAATACATTAAGTTACAGTGTTACCTGTTTTTCAAGAAGTTTAACCACACTCTGTCCTGAGTCCTGAGGACTCTGAGGTTTCTCTTCTGTAAATTCTTCGCTGTCTTTCAGTGTCCCTAAATTGGATTTTTGCTGCATATTGGACTTCTGTAATTCTAACAGTTTCTAAAAGGAGCAAGAGGACAGAGAAATTAAGAACATGTATACAGGTTTTATTAACTGTCATCTAATACAAAATTTACTTTAAACATAACTATGCACAGATTGCATCAGATTCTTCTCACATTTCTCATGAGTTCAGAATTTATAAACTTTCATGTAATTACTAATATATACATCTAACAAATATACCTTGCAAATGTACACAGGACCTAGCAGCTACAAAACATAAGATGCTCTGAACGCCATGCGTATTTGTTTTCTGACCCACCTATGCTTTTACAATTCTCTTTCTAGTGAAAACTTTGGAAAGCATTTCCTGAGCACGTATTGAAAACGCATGCAGTTCTACTGTCAGGACTATAATGCAGAGGTTAGTCCCCTCCATGCCAGTTATGAGAACATCAATACCAGGATACCTAACAGACAGCAATAATAAGAGTATCTACTAATCCATAAACAGGTACTCAAAGGATGACGAGCAAGAAAAAACTGACATAGTTGCTGAAGGTATAATTCGTTCATCCAAAACAATGCTATTAAAAAAAAGAACTGAAATGATGTTACTAAAGTATCAGTATACAAAGACACAACTATGGCTATCATTCAACCATTATTTTTAGGGTTTTGTAAGATGACCTCCAGGATGACTACATCACATTTCAAACATGTAAAGTCCACTACCATCTTCTGTAAGGGATTCATGCCTGAAAATGTTCGAAAATCTAAATCACTTACACTTTCTAAAGTTGAATTTCTTGAAGATAACTCCTTAAGCTCTTTCATAAACATCTCTTTCACTTTTCCTACTTCATCAGCCCATTTCTCTTTTTCCTCCTCTTTCCATTTATGAAATGATTGCAGAATTTCTTCTTCTTTTGATTTTTGCTGTTCGCATTTCTGAAATTAATTTAAAACCGTTACTTGTTATTTTTCCCCATATGCAATAATAATTCAAGCACCCAAACTACGCGTGGGAAGCAGTCACTTTCAATGGCAACATTGTGACATCAATAAACACAAAAAACCACCAGTTTCTGAAGAATTCTGGGGCAGCAAACTATACATTTTGCTAGCAAAGCAAGTACGTTTCAAGAAGTTTTGGTAGTTCACTATTTTTCCATACGTAAGAACACATGAATGACCTTACTTGGTCATATCAAAGACCGCCTAGTTCAGCATCCTATTTCTCACAGAGGCCATAACCGTATCAGTGGGAAAGGATAATACCAGGGCAAGCAAACATGCACATTCTCCTTAATAGTCTCCAAGATGCCAACTGTTTGCAGCTCAGAGGGCTTCCTGTGCCTGATACAGTTTTGTCAACTTAGTAACCTTCGATACATTTCTCCTCATATACTCTTGCAGTCGTCCCGTGTGGCTGCAACATCTTTTGCCAAAGAGCTCCACAAATTGCGTGAAGACCCAAGTACTTTTTCAGTTTGAATCTGGCTCCAGCTATGTTCATTTGATGGATGCCAGGTCCTAAACTGGAAAAGAGAGTGAATAATTGATACCTCTTCACTCTATGTAACTCACGACTTCAGTCCCATCAAGCTGTTGTCTCTTTTTCAGACTGACAACTCTGAGCATGCTCAGTCATTCTAAATACAGACTGATCACCCTCATAGCCCATCTCCATAATTTTAGAATTCTGTCACATCCTTTTTGAGATGAAGGGACTAAACCTACACACAGTATTTAGGTTGTGGCTTGCACTGTGATTTTTCAGAATAATTTGTAATATTTGATTTTCTTCGCTGGCTGCTACTAATTACTGGGTTGTAGAACGATGTATTGCAACCTTAAGATCTTGCCCTTCAGTAATAACACTCAGCTCTGAATCCATCATTTTGTAGATTAAGTTATTTTTCCCACGTATACATTTACGCCACTTTATCAGTTAAATTACTTCTACTATTCCATTACCCAGTCACTCATTTCATACAGTCCTCAACTTGTTCAAAGTCCTGCATTTCACTGCCCAGAATATATACACTTTTTAGGCAACCCCTACATCTTTCAATCACAGCATTCAATCTGAATTTGTTCTCTGACTAACTATAACAAGCAACCATTGTACACTTATGAAGAACAGGATCTTCTGTGTCCTTTCACCTCAAAGGCGTAGAAGGGACCAAGAATTGAAAGCATAACAGTTTTTATTCACATTTCCTCCAGTAGTGGCTCTCCTAAAAAAAACACAGCGGAAAGATCTTCTGCTCTTCTGCAGGCAAACTGCAGCCAGTCACACTTCACATTTCTATCTTCCCTGACATCCAAACTTTGCAAGCTTCTTGTTGTGTAACACCGCAGGCTGCAGCTTCAGGACATTTCAGGCAGTCCCCTTGTAGTTAGGAGACTCAGCTAAGACAAGTGAATTCAAAATAGGCACCTAAGGCACAAAAAAATCTACACTGCACTGTTATGAATACTCAAAGTTCCATCTCACAAAACAATGCTTCAGGGGCAGCAGAAATATGTTATAGATGTACCTCTCAAAAGTGAGGCACAGAATGAATGAGTGGAATACCTAGGAGATGTCCACGTAGGGCCAAGGCCCATTATCTGACAGTGCTTGCGCTCCTTAGCGAAACTTTATCCACGCTCTTCATTTGGTCACTCAGTACTTTTGAAAATGGAAAAAAAAAACCAGGAAGCTGAATGGTCCTGAGAAAAGGGGAACAAGAGGATTGAAGAAAGGAGAGTCTGAAGCTGTGTTCAGGGAAAGAAACACTGCATATTTTACAGAAGATCAGGTTTTCCTCTGAAAACAAGGAAGAAAATAATGATAGCCACGTTTTGTTTATTGCCTTTAAATTAAAAACGTAGTGTTTGTTTCCAAATTTAATGGTTGGTTTTATGTTTGAAGGTCCTCAAACTCCACTATGAAAGCCATTTAGAAGTTCTGAATATTGGAAGAAGGTTCTTACAAGTTAACAATGACAAAACACTGCTTTTGAATGTGATACAGGGCAAACTGCAACACAAAGATCAGCGTTCAACTCAGCTATTAGAAGTATCTTGTCTCTTATGCCTAGAACTTGCTCCTCAAATGGAAGTGTGAAGCCCCTCTGTCGTCAAAAAAATTTCCATCCCTATTTCGATAGCAAATCTGATTGTATTTATTTAAACAGAAATGAAAACTGTGCGATGATCTGAAATTTTCAAGTTTAAAAAAAAAAAACAATAAACAGGTAACTTAGAGATTCTTTTTTCTCTTTATGAGCCAGTAAGTGTATTTACAAGATTCAATACTACCCTAAACAAAGCCTTGCATGTGATTACAAATAGATAATTACTACTTTAAATCATTCTTGGTTAAGGTCTTCTCGTTCACACAGCAGTAGCTAAGACTACTTTTTGCTTTGTCTCTCCGGTCAGCCAAATACCAAGGATTTAAAGACCACCATAAGAGTTCTAGATTGCTTTGTTTCTTCTCAGTCTCTCTTCCTTGAACTGCTTTATACCTCTGTTAGACATAAAGTTCTCCACAGCAAAGAATAAATCCTACTCTAGCTTATAAGGTCACATGTAAAATCAGTCATATCTAAGAAATGCTTAATCATCACAAAATGTCAAAATAGCTTATATTTCACCACAGCAAGGCAATTTTATCTGCTTTAATAACAAGACACACATCTTCTGAACTGGCAAGTGCTAACAGAAGCGTTGTCTCAGATATTCATTTAAAGTATGTCTAAAATGAAAGTAAGGAGAAAGTGGATGTCCAAAATTATGGGAGGCGAGGGAGGGCTATGATCTAATGCCCAAGCACCATGGCTGCCAGACAGGCAAGCTGTAGATACATTTTTGTTTTGTTCCAGTTGCAAAATGAATTACTACTTTGGACTGTGTTCACCCTTTTGAAAGGTTCACATTACTTACTATAGATTACCTTATAAAACCTGGCCATATTAGCCTGTTGCTCAGCCTCTAACTGGGACTTGACAAGTTGCAACTGATCCTTCAGTTTATCAAACTCATCCTGCAATTTGTCTGTCTCTGCTTTCCTCTTCTGCTCTGTTTGAAAGAAACACAAATTTTAAAAATGTTTGTTGTGATTTCTGGAAATCTGGTACTTATGGCAAATGCATTTCTATAGTGTTTCAGTAACACCTTAATGAAGTGCGACTCACATCGACCATTCCCCTTCATACTGTCATGAGTCTCCAAAGATGCTTTTAAATACATACGTTCTCTGGACTGCTAACATCCTCATGAACTGAAAAATATCACTATTACTGACATGTAAAATAGTTTATAAAATATTTACAAGTATTATATAATCTAATTTCAAAGGAATCTAAGGAACACAGGCTCAAACAAGGATGTATGAAGGACAAAGTGAACCTCAATGATTCAATTCTGTTAGGTTTAATTTATTCCAAATAACTTCAGTAAGGAGTCCATTTGGAATACAAATTCTCGTTGATCTGGAATGAGTCAGGGGGAATGTCACTGCAAAAAACAGTTCATAAATATGCAAAAATTGTAACAATGTTTCATCTTGAAATACTTTATCAATTTACCAAGGACCCAATTTTCCCCAGTCTGCCCCTCCTCTGAAGATCTGAGCACAGTGCAGAATATTATTTCAGAAATAACTGCACGGAGTATTTCCCTCATACAGCCATTTCAGACTAATTCTTTACACGATAACTAGTTCAACTGTTTCTGCAGCTCCTTCCACTATCATCTCTTATCAACTATGAAGTGGACAAGAGCTTCTTTCTTCTTCCAATACTTTAACGCTTTCTCAGATGTCTACTCAGACCCCTCTTGCTTTTCCTACTGTTTTATTTGACTGACAACTACAGTTCAGACCTCGCTAGATTCTTCCCACTCTTTCTGCTCCCAAATGCTCTTTTTTCCTAACTCATTTCTAACCACTGCCACTCGTCAATACCTGCGAGTCCTTAGCAATAAATCTCAAGCATGCAGCCTAACAGGAAGGAGAGAATTTAGAGACGAATGAAACAAACTTTGACAGCGGTGTTTTTCAAACTAAACGTTTTTTAGTGAAGACAGAGAAAAGTATGTAAGTTAGTGGTATAGCAACCACAATTACCATAGATACATGAAGTTAGATTATTCTTGACAGTTTCTTTTTCTCACTCTGTTTTACAGTCAGTTTAGTTCAGGAGAGCCTGAACCTATTCAAACTGCTTTCAGGTGACCTGGATTATTTCTGTACTGATAATTCATACGTATTCACAAAATGTATTTGCCTTAGTTGTTCAGTTTACCCACACCTTCGTAACACACATGCCTGAAGAGAAACTGTGCTCTGAACTCCACTACTAAGCATTCAGTGGGAATGCTAGTTTGAAAAGGTACTGTAAATAGGGTATACAATCTTCTGTTAATTATTTTCCAGAGACTGAAACATATGTCACCCAATGGATTTTGTCATTCAGTGTTGCTTGCATTCACACAAATTGGTATCTGCCACCTAAATATGGAGTGTGAAAATCATTCTTCCCAGTTACACAAAAGCATGGACCGGTGCATCCTGACTACATTTACACTTCTCTAAACTATTTATCTCCATTTTTTTGATAACATTAAAGTACATACCAATCCGAGATTCTTCCGGATGACGCCTTTGCATGTGACTTTGTAAAAAGGAATAGTTCACAAAAGCCTTTTCACAAAACTGACACTACAAAGAACAGATAAAAACATTTTAGTTATTATTCGTAACATCTGTTTGATAAGCATAGCAGTTAAAGCTTTTAACAGGTTATTACATTTTGCCCAGAAGTCCAAAGTAGGTAACTTCAATAAATTCCATTTCACAAGAATAATGACTAAAATTCTCACAGTACCTGATTTCTCTAAAGTTATTTGTGTTATTTAATGTCGTGCAGTGATGGTCATGGGCAAGAATCCCTTTGTGCTAGGCACTGCACAAACTCTGAACAAAAAACACTCTGACCGAGCAAGCTCAAATTCAGATATAAACCACAGATACAAGATGAATATAGGTAGGTATAGAAGCATAAGGAAAAAGTAAGGCAACACTGCTCAGCAAAACACACACTGACTCCAGCCAACTAGCAGCTCAGGTACTCTTAAGGCTCTTGTATCACAGCAAAAGACAGCACCATACAGTTGGAAAAAACAACAAACATGGGTTTGAGTACACATACGTGAATTGTAGGGTGACTACACCAGGACCACAGATATGTAAAAAGGTCAGATATTTCAAACAAAATAAGGTAACAGTATACAATTTTGCAAGAAAAGGTACATACATTAGTATGCTACCCAGCATCCTTCTGAATTGTAAAGCTGTTTCAATTACTGTTCCTAAAATTTACTTCTTATTTTTTAATTTGAATGTGAAGTCGTATTTTCAATCAAATTTGGATCCTATCCATTTAAAAATTTTTTTTTGTTTCTCTTCAAAGTACATTCCACTAACACTCAGAATACTGAAAACAGATGGGTATCACAAGGACAGAAGCTACCCCTACAGATTTTGCAACATAGCGGTAAGACCGAACGAAAGCCCGCATCGCTTTATGTAGGGTTGCTCATTACCTCTCTCTCACACTTCTTTTTTTTTCAAATAAATACATTTTAACAAATCACAAATACTCAGCTGAGTCCTTGTTCCTCTTCAGTGTGGTATCACAGAATCACAGAATGGTAGGGATTGGAAGGGACCTCTGTGGGTCATCTAGTCCAACCCCCCTGCCGAAGCAGGGTCACCTACAGCAGGCTGCACAGGACCTTGTCCAGGCAGGTCTTGAATATCTCCAGAGAAGGAGACTCCACAACCTCCCTGGGCAGCCTGTTCCAGTGCTCCGTCACCCTCAGAGGGAAGAAATTCTTCCTCATGTTCAGACGGAACTTCCTGTGCTTCAGTTTGTGCCCATTGCCCCTTGTCCTGTCACTGGGCACTACTGAAGAGAGTCTGGCCCCATCCTCCTGACACCCACCCTTCAGATATTTATAAGCACTTATTAGGTCCCCTCGCAGCCTTCTTCAGGCTGAACAAGCCCAGCTCCCTCAGCCTCTCCTCGTAGGGAAGATGTTCCAGTCCCCTCATCATCCTTGTAGCCCTCCGCTACAAGTATGACTGTAAAAGACTGACTTAACAGATTCAAGATCTTGTCATCACAATCAAACTCCCAGATTTCATCTCATATTTAAAATACTGCCACTGATAGTCAGGTATCCTATCAAATATAGATATCTTTCAGCAAACACTAAAGCCTTGAACTACTAAGTCAAATTTTGTTGGACAAAGAGAAAAAAGTGCTAATAAAAAAACAAAGTAAAGAGTCGTAGAATCTTAGCATGGTTTGGGTTGGAATGGACCTTAAAGATAATCTAGTTTCAGCCCCCCTGCCATGAGCAGCGACACCTTCCACAGACCAGGTTGCTCAGAGCTCCATCCAGCCTGGCCTTGAACACTGCCAGGGAGGGGCATCCACAGCTTCTCTGGGCTATCTGTTCCAGTGCCTCACCACCCACATAGTAAAGAATTTCTTTCTTCTATCTAATCTAAATCTGCCCTCTTTTAGTTTAAAGCCATTACCCCTTGTCCTATCACTACAAACCCTTGTCAAAAGTCCCTCTCCAGCTTTATTGCAAGCCCCTTCAGGTACTGGAAGGCTGCTGTAAGGTCTCCCAGCAGCCTTCTCTTCTCCAGGCTGAACAGCCCCAACTCCCACAGCCTTTCCTCACAGGAGAGGTGCTCCAGCCCTCGGATCATCTTTGTGGCCTCCTCTGGACCCGCTCCAACAGATCCGTGTCTCTCCTGTGCTGAGGGCTCCAGAGCTGGATGCAGTAAGACATGCAGTATAGCAGCAAAGTACTGCTGCCAACCAAGAGGGAGCTTATAGTGTAACAGATTGCACATGATTTATGGAATTAAATTGGCTGTGAAATAATGTTATCCATTCAAGCATAAACTTAATGTCAGTTAGACTTGCTGGGAGCAAAAGAAAGCTCTTACTGCAGGAGACAGGATTAACACAGAGAACATTTACGTTTTGAATGATGTAACGTTATTCTCGCAACTACTTTTCACAGTGTAATACAGAATGCACACTTTACGTCTACATCATGCATGAGAATATGAGATTTCTGAACAAAGTATCAAAAAACTGAAAAATTATTTTAAATTAAGTTCGCATTACTCAGATGAAGGTACTGACCACTGAGTCTCAGATTCATGACTTGTAGGTAGCAGTACCATTTTATCATAGTATTCAGTGGTTGAACTTACATTGGTGGTGGATTAAAGGCATTAAACCTGAATTCCACAGCATGATTAAATTGGATCTAAAGTGTGTCTCTTCTAAAAAAAGGCAAGTAACTATTTACAGGCTTGTTTGCTAAACAGCCAAGACTTTAAAGGGATGAAACCTGAACTACCTCTCAGGAACACCAGCAAAACCCCTATTATCTGGCACTGCAGACCAGCCAAGATCATGGCACAGATAAACACACAATTATTGTTTACTGATCACACTGCTGCCCTGCATTTACAAACCCTAGGAAGAGTTTAATTTATCTCTGGTATTCACACTCAGAATCCTGAAAACCCTGTAGGAACTGCAGGAACTGTTCAACAACACTCCCTGGACTCACTTTTCGCACATGAACCTAAACAACTTCTAGAGGCAAGAATTTACTAACAGAAAGTAAAAAAGGGGTGAGGGCAGACACTTACTTCATATGAAATTAAATTAAAAATGGGAAATAGCTGTCCGTCTTGGCTTTATTGTAAATGCTACTGATCAAAATGAGCCAAGTTCACTACCATGTTCTTCAGCCTCCACTGAGACAGCTGTATTCTACGAATATTTCAGGAAAACTTGGTAATATTCAGCTGGCAATCACAGTATGAGAATTATTTAAGTTTACACATAAAATGATGCATCAAATCAGTTTTCTTTTGCAACACAAGACAGACAAACTGCTCTGTAAGTTGCATAGAGGCTTTTTAAAATTATTCCACAGCAGCAGCTTCTCCTTAAGACTAACACTCAAATGAACGCATTGAGATAAGGTTCCCATGAAGTCTACCATATGCATAGCTCTGCTCTTGGGGCATAAGGTATCTTTTTCCTTACAGAAAATCCCAAGAATTAAAAAGCAGAACAAAACTATAACTTTAAACATATAGACACAAAGAGCTAGCCTGAAATCATGTCAAGTCTGTGTCCAGTGTACTTTCCAGACTTCAGACTACATTTGAGGTTGCAATCTGCATTCCTGAAACCTGTTGAAAAGTGCTGAAGCTGAAAAATCTTTAAATCAAACTATTACATCCATATTACGTAGAACACAAAAACCCTCACAAAAATAACCAGACGGACATGACACTGGGAGTCAGAACAGCAATGTACTAAGCTCCTAGGGAAGACCGTTAAGGAAGAGACTGTTGTGGAGTTATGGATGAGCTGCCTCACTGGGACTCTTTACCATCCTGCCCGAGTCACTTCTGAGTCACACACGCAAGTAGAAACTTAGTCCCTGGAGAACATCACTGCAGGAAAGGGGCAACTCGCAGCCAGGTAGCTTACCGCCTAGCACCAGTTCTGCTATACTTGCCCTGTGTGTTTTTTGATCGTGTAGCTGACAGGCAAGGCGAGACAGCAGCAGAAAGCAGTAAGACATTTATCATGGGTTTTGTATGTGTGCGTATCTGACGCTTCAAACACGTCAAAAGCGAATCCAAGAATAAAGAGCACTTGTTAGCGAAAACGGGATTCGTTAATGATGATGTGGCACTCTCCCAAGCGTCTGTGGCACCAGCCAGACACCTGTGAAACACAGCTGGGAAGCAAAGCAGGCGCATCACCTGCAGGCAATGCACTCCTTTTTTTCAGTGT